ATGATGATTGACAGTAGTGGTATTTATGAACTACAGCAATGCTGTATACCATGATAGTAATTGTACTTCACTGATCCATGCTTTTTACTGTAAGGTGACTACTGGTACCTATGTGGGTAGGGTTGGACATACTTTTAAGGTATGACTTGCCACTGTAATAAATGTTTTTTGTTGTATTTTAGGGATGAGATTTACTGCCAGATATGCAAACAGTTGACCCAGAATCCTTCAAAGAGCAGTCATGCGAGAGGCTGGATATTATTGTCACTGTGTGTTGGGTGCTTTGCACCATCTGATATGGTAAGTCCTATTTATACTTAAAACACACAGAGGAAAATTGGAAAATTATGCAGTGGTAAAAACTCTACTCTGTTTAAGTTAACTTTTAATTCAGTATCTATTGTGATTGTTTTTTGTTAGTTTGTGAAATACCTGAGGTGTTTCATCAGTGAGGGACCACCTGGTTACGCTCCTTATTGTGAGGAGAGATTACGGAGAACGTTTGCGAATGGTACTCGTAACCAGCCGCCAAGCTGGTTGGAATTACAGGCAACCAAGTCCAAGAAACCTTTAATGCTTCCCATAACATTCATGGATGGAACCACAAAGACGCTGTTGGCGGATTCAGCTACGACAGCACGTGAACTTTGCAGTCAGCTTGCTGATAAGATTGGACTCAAAGATCAGTTTGGATTCTCCCTTTATGTTGCTCTCTTTGATAAGGTAATATGCTTCACTGTTTCTTTATTTTGTTGAATTATTGTCTTATTTCACAGAATATGCAAACTGAATTTCAGCTTCTTGTCTTTTCAACATTGAAAAAATTCACCACCCACCGGGATTCATTGAACTTATCTGTTGTCTCTTAGGTATCATCTCTTGGTAGCGGTAGTGACCATGTGATGGACGCCATCTCACAGTGCGAACAGTACGCTAAAGAACAAGGGGCTCAAGAACGCAATGCTCCCTGGCGTTTGTTCTTCCGTAAAGAAATCTTTGCACCCTGGCATGATCCAGCGAGGACCCTGTCGGTACTAATCTAATTTACCAGCAAGTTGTGAGAGGAATAAAGTTTGGAGAGTACAGATGTGAAAAAGTAAGAGGAACGTGCGAGTAGCATGCACTAATTTTACCATGGATTCAGAGTGTGTCATCTTGTTTATTTTGGAGATATCAAAATGTTTAACCACATTCGGCAATGATTTTCATTAATTAATGTCAGTAATTCAATCTTTATCTTTTACAAGATATTAGCAAGCAATACTTTGGGAAAATAATTTCTTTGTGCTGCTTAGTTAATGTTTAGAGAATTAGAAATATAAAGCGACTTGATAAAAACTCACTTTGGTAACTTTCTAGCAGTGAAGTTCCAGATTTACAATATTGCTAACGGTTATTTTAAACTGTTTTGGCATCTTGGGAAATTGTGAGCAGATGAAGGCGCAACTTCAAAATGAAATGCAAGGACCAATCAAAGTACCAGTAGTATGTATGATATCGTGAATTACTCTTTGCTACATGTGAGAAAATAAATATATCCATATTACCTTGTTATACAGGATACTGATTTGGCAGCTATCGCTGCACAGCAGTACTATGTTGAGTACGGAAGTGATATGGTTTACGATCGAGTCATTGGATTATTGCCGTCGTACATACCTGACAGCTCTATGACTGGTTCAAAAACTATAGAACGTTGGGCTCAAATGGTGGTCGCTGAACATAACAGGGTAGGTTTTGAGAGTAGGGTTAAAACTTGCCTCTAACATAGTCAATCATGAAAATATAGAGAAGAATTGCACACTTTGAATGAAAATTCAACAAAAACATTATTTTGATGATAAAAATAATGTGTTTGTGGGAGGGACCAATCATATTTTTCTACCATTACCATTGATGTTGTGGTATACTTGAAATGAAATGAAATGATACTCGTCTTTTCGTTGATTTCTTATTATGTATTAAAATTCAGGTTGGTTTTAATGATTTTAAATTGTCGATAAGAGTGAGAACAGGGGACTTTTTATGACGCTAATGATATTATGATCATCACTGACCGTCACTGAGACTTTCCTATATATAGTCCATAGGTCCATTATAAATGTACATATTTTTCTTGTTCTTAGAGTTACTATGTAAAAGAACGTGTTGACAAACTGAAAGTGAAGGAAGATGTCGTCAACTATGCACGTTTTAAATGGCCACTGCTCTTCTCAAGATTCTACGAAGCATATAAATTCTCAGGACCCAGTCTACCTAAAAACGATGTCATTATCGCAGTCAATTGGACCGGTGTTTATGTCGTGGATGACCAAGAGCAAGTTTTGTTAGAACTCTCGTTTCCGGAAATCACCCAAGTGTCCAGCAGCAGGTAGGGAATTCAGTAGAATCTTGTTAAATTTTGCAGTGACAACTTTCACAATGTATGTTGGATTTGTCGAGTCCAGATTTATCTGCAGCACAGTTCTTAACTGATATTAATTTTGGTTTTATACTTAAAAACACAAATTTGTTGACTGCCTCCAGCAACACCAATATTAATACATTGGCAGCTGTTAGATGTTCTCAGCATCATTCACTTCTGTATAAAGACTGATGAACTTGTTCAAGTTTCTTAACATGCTAGCTTGTGGAGAAACAAGTTTACTACAGTAACTCTGCCCTGCGTAAAATTTGGCATACTGGGAATCTTCTGACTGGTTTAATGGGGGCCGTATTGTACTGATTGAGTGCATGAAACAGACTTGGCTACCGTTGCCATGTACAATCAGTGATCAAAAGCTTATTTCACCTGGTCTTATTTTATAGGACCGGAAAGTTACATGGACAGAGCTTTACTTTACTTACTGTTAAAGGCGATGAGTACACTTTTACTTCTTCCAACGCAGAGGATATTAGAGATTTAGTCGTTGGCTTTCTTGAAGGGCTGAAAAGAAAATCGCGGTTTGTTGTGGCTTTGCAGGATAACCCGAGTCAAGGTAAAAATTTTGCATGTTGTTTTTCTGTATGCAGCTTTAATTTTGTAAAAGGATGCATTTTCATCAGTTTCGCAAGTTTAAAAATCAGCGCACATTTTACTAGGATCCTTAAAACAGGGAGTTGTTATATTCCGTGAAGTTACGAATACTCTTTAGTTTGTCCATACACAATGTAACCTACAATATACAAATCTTGCAGCTTTTTATCTGGATATAAATATATCTTGCGCATTTCAACAATTAATGATTGAATCGCATGAGGATGACATACAGGGATTATTTGCACCAAACAAGTATATGTTTATCTCTGTAGGTGACGGGTCATCGTTTTTGAGTTTCAAAAAGGGTGATTTGATTGTATTGGAACAAGAGAATGGGGATGCGGTTATGAATAGTGGATGGTGTTACGGTGAGAACGAGAGGACTAAACAGAAGGGAGACTTCCCCGCAGAGTGTGTGTATGTGTTGCCGTCGATTACGAAGCCACCTCCAGAAATTGTGGTAAGATGAAACAGTCAATTTTGTGTATTTGGGTAGATTGCGTATGATTCAGTGAGCCGCTCTCTAGTCGTATTTGATACAAAAATAAATCGGTGAACTCCAAACTCCGAAGAAAGTTCATTTTCTATGGTAGTCAGATTTACCTATGGTGATTGGCCATCACAATTGATGGCAGATTTGTACATGTACATTCTTCTTCAATCATTTAAAACGTCTGTTCTCGTTTCAGGCATTGTTCACCCTTCAACCCAATGAAATGACAGATCGAATGATGAGTGCGACAGAGGTCGCAATGCAGCAAGACACTCAGCCGCTCGAAAAACCGCACACTCTGGAACAATATTCAATTGACCATTTCAGGTAATGGCCTGTAGATGGCGCTTTATCTCGTCAGAACTCACAGCAGTTTAATGCATAATGGATATGATGATTGACAGTAGTGGTATTTATGAACTGCAGCTATGCTGTATACCATGATAGTAATTGTACTTTACTGATCCATGCTTTTCACTGTAAGGGGGAAACGTGTGTCTTATATATGGTTGGCCACCAGTAAAGGGGGGGGGGGGTGAGCCATAATGTTATTTTAACTTTTCTTTAAATTGATCTAAATAGTTAGGTAAGTAATGACAAATTAAGCAGTCACTGTGTTAACACTCGTTTGTAGTTTATAACCATTTGAGTGTCATTATTTTTTCCACAAACAAAATTTTGCAAATTTTGTTTTTGTTTTTTCGATCATTGTTTTTAATCATTGTGAACCAAATGAACATAAAATTCTGTTTGCTACAGATTTTGATAAAAAAAAATTGGAAACAAATCTCTCAAAATCATGTGACTTTATTTTGTGAGAAGTGATAAAAGTCTGAATGTTTGATTTGTATTATTCTCACAAAATAAACCTCTACTTGTCTCACTTGTATTTGGTGATTCGGACAGTCTTGTTGTATATTGGCAATATTGTTAAAGTCAATATTATGAATAGTTTACATTCATATGCAAGACAAGTCTGAATAGGAAATTACATTGAATATTAGGAACAAATATTGTCAACAGAACTGAAATGTTTAATTATTTTTGCCTTCAGAACCCCTCCTAAAAAGACATTGACAGCGACGTTGTCCAAGAAAAGAGGAAAGGATACACTCTGGAGCTACACGAAAGAACCAATCAGGCAGCCGTTATTGAAAAAATTAACGAGCAATGATGAATTGTCGCAAGAGGCCATCTTGGCGTTCTTAGATATCCTTTATAGAATTATGTGAAGCAATGGTGTTTAGAGGGAAACATTGACAGGTTACTGCAATAGACTTTTTATCTTCTCATAAGCTGGGAAGAAGGGACGCTTTATTCGAGTTAGAAAGCAATGGATATGATGGTTGACAGTAGTGGTATTTATGAACTGCAGCAATGCTGTATATCATGATAGTAATTGTACTTTACTGATCCATGTGCTTTGAGTTCCCGGATTGTCAAATCTCTGTTATAGAAAGACCGCAGGCAGGCATATGAGCAACCTGTGTATAAAAACCGCCTTGGTAATGTGACCAACCTTTTCAGCAATATTTTTGCAGTTTTGTCTTTGTTTAGGGACAAAAACAATAATTAGCTATTTGTTTATAAAACAATTTCCAATTTACCGGTAATCAAGTCAAACTCAATTGATTTTGATCAACTCAAATGTGTATTTGGTACAACATAATTGTCATTTTCTGAACAAAACATGTGTGTTGCTGATTCATCAAAAAAAATAATTTAACATCCATATGAAGACCAACTGTTTATTAATACCATTTTAATGAATTCTCATGGGTGATTCAATACACAGGTTTGACCGTATTACTGAGACAGTGTCAATTCTGCACGTTAATCATGAGACTTTTTACCTCAATATATTCCTAACTGTCTTTTTTGCAATGTACATTTTGTTCTGCTACATCTGTGCATGAATGAAATACGGTAATACATTACAAATGATTTGTAAACTTTGATGATGACAATACCATGCTGAATCTTGTATAGTAACATTTCTTTCATTACCAGAAGTTTATTATCACAATGTGTCTTCTCTTTAACTCGTTTCTTACCTATCATGAAGTATATGGGTGATTATCCATCAAAAAGAAGTCGTCATGGTAACGATTTGTCGGATCAGATTTTTGAGGCCGCACTCAAGCATGAGCCATTGCGTGATGAGATATACTGTCAAATCGTCAAACAGCTTACCGGAAACAGGATAAGGTAACATTAAAAATATCACCATTCATTTGATTCATTTCGTCAGTTAAAATTGAAAGCAAAAAAAGACAGCATGGTAAAATGTCTAAAATAAAAATCTGTTGTTTTTCTTAATTAGGTTAAGTGAAGAGAAAGGCTGGGATTTAATGTGGTTGGTGACTGGTATTTTTGCATGCAGTCAGTCATTGCTTCCAGAAATCACTAAATTTCTCCGATCAAAGCGGCATCATCTGGCTCCAGACTGTTTCCATAGATTACAGAAAACAATCAGGAATGGACAAAGAAAGTATCCCCCGCATCTAGTGGAAGTGGAAGCTATCCAGCATAAAACAACGCAGATATTCCACAAAGTCTATTTCCCAGATGACACAGACGAGGTAATGTTAAAAACAAAAAACTGTTTCATTAAAAAGTTTGTTTGAGCAATGGATATGATGATTGACAGTAGTGGTATTTATGAACTACAGCAATGCCTGTATACCATGATAGTAATTGTACTTTACTGATCCATGCTTTTATCAGAACGCTGGCACTGAGTAATTATTTATCATGTCATGATAAAGATAAAATTAACATGTCGAGTTTAATGAATACAGTACTATGTTTGTGTTGATCTTAAATTTTTTTTTTCAGTTCTTCCTATACATGAGAGGAATTTTGATTCTTTGAAAAATGCGAAATCAGTTTTCAATGTCTCTCTACTTTCTTGTGGCCACAATGTCTGCATCTTTGTGAATGACACTCGCCCAATCCATCACCACCTTCCCCGAAACCAACGCCCTCCCTCTGTTGGGTTTAATAGTCCAAGCATTTCATTAGAGAGAATTCATCAGACTCGGTAGAATATTTGAATCAGATGATAAAATAAAAGTCTCTATCTTTCGTCATTGTTAGGCTTTTGAAGTGGATTCAGGTACTAGAGCTAAAGACTTCTGTATGAACATTGCACAGAGATTACGACTCAAATCATCAGAAGGTTTCAGTCTGTTTGTGAAGATAGCTGACAAAGGTAAGAATGTTTTTTCACATTGATGGTCGTCAGTTTCAGTGGAATGTGGTAATTTGGGGTTTCTCCAATGTTTAAACATGTGGTCGATTAATTCCATTGCAGAGGCAGCTTTTTAACATACAGGTGTTTAAGAATTTTGTAACGTGTAATTTACAAGTCCTTTATGTAGTATGTTCATATTTGATCCAGTGTGTGCACTGCAAAACTGCAATACGGTAACGCCCATTTCTGTGTGTCATTTCTGTGTTTAAACTCGTTGTTGTGAAATATAAATACACCATTATTTTGATTGCTTGCCTTACAGTTATAAGTGTACCTGAGGGTGACTTCTTCTTTGATTTTGTGAGGCATTTGACTGACTGGATCAGGAAAGCAAGGCCAAGTAGAGAAGGTAGGTAGTTTTGTAATCATTATGTGAAGCAAGTGTAAGTGATGTTATTTCAATAATAATCTATTTGACTAATATATCAACATGTTCACAATGGTGATTTCATTGATTTATGTATGGCCTTTTACCTTTGTACATGTTATGAATATCTTTTGTGTTTTAATATTCAATGATTATTTTCAATTCCATACTTTTGGCTAATAATGGAAATATCCCATATACATGAACAGTTCTTAAATGACATGCTAGGGCCGATCACTTTAAAAAATAACACACAAATCATACACCTTGGGAGGCGTGTTCATTTGTTTCACAATCTGATTCAGGATGGCTTAAAATTCATCGAAATCAAAGCATTTCTGCCATTCCGGAAACCGATCTCAGTTGTGCATTGACAGATTTTTTTAAAAATTGGTATACACATTGAACATTATGTCATTCTGTTTTTCAGATCAAATTCAAAATGTCTGACTAGCGGGCAGTTGGTTTTTATTATATTATATCTGACATGACCATTCATGTTCAAACTTTATAGATTTCTCAAACTTTATAACTCACGAGGACTATGTAATGCAATTATTTCTGTCTTATGAAACAGGAAGTTTGATCCATGCTGGGAGTTTTAAAACCTGGACTTCATTTTAATAAAAGAAAGTGTTCAAGAACTAAAATAAAATGTTACATTTGTTTTGCAATTACCGTAGTTTGAATATCCAAGTTACCTATGCATACTAAATTAAAGTACAATGTTTTGAGTATGATTGTTATGATAATTGTTTTGTTAGGTACGATACCCGTGTTAACATACCAAGTATTCTTTATGAAGAAACTCTGGAGCAATACTGTCCCCGGCAAGGATCCTAACGCTGATTGTATATTCCACTACCATCAGGTAAGCCTTCAGTTTCTATAAACGACAGCCCTATGGCCGTACGTTGACATTATGATTATGACTTATGTGTGTATTATGTTTGCCCACTCACAAATTTTGAGACACTGAGCAATGGTCAATTGTACATAATGCTGAAAAACTAAAATCTATCCTTTCGGAGGAAATTCACTCAGGAGTGTTAGTTTAGGCTTAACAATGTTGATTTCTCATTTCTTACATTATTGCAGGAGCTTCCAAAGTTATTGAGAGGTTACCATAAATGCAGCAAAGAAGAAGCGTGTCAGATAGCTGCGTTACAGTATCGTGTCAGATTCGGCGATGATAAATCAGAATTTCAAAACATACCGTATGTTAACTTTGTTATATTATTATATTTGCATGAGTACTGTCATTATGACATGGAAGCATATCTTGCTACTTCACTGTCAAGCATGTTAAAAAAAAAAATTCTGTCATTTTCTAATTTTGATATCGTAACATTACAGGAAAATGTTACGTGAACTGCTTCCCGCAGATCTCGTCAAAGCGCAGTCACCAGATGATTGGAAGCGGGTAAGTTAATTTTAAGAATATCTTGCGATGGTTTTGACAGAAATGATAATATTGGGGGGGGGGGGGTGGAGGCCTTTATTTAAACATACATTGGTTTGACTGTACGTTTACATGAAGGCTTGTATATTGAGGGAACAGTGTTAGTTTATGTCGATGTCAGTCAGATTGACCCTGTCTTACACAAGAACCTCAAATTATATTGCCCTAGATTTGTAACCCAAAATAGTATATCGTTCATTTCTGTCATAGTGAAGCAGAATTTATTCAGCTTTTGATTTCTTACCCACCAAGATGGAACATCAGCTTGTGTTAGAACATCATTAGAACGTTAGATTGAGTAGGGAAAACTTGTATTCCCTATTTGAGTTTAACATCACCTGACCTGACTTGATCTGACCTGTAGCCTTGACCTATAAATCGATTTGGCTATTTGTTCACTTACGATAATCTCCATCTGTATATACATTTCAGAACATCATAGCAGCGTACAACAAACATTCCGGCAAAACGCGAGACGAAGCGAAGATAGCCTTCCTGAAAATCCTCTACAGATGGCCAACCTTTGGATCAGCTTTCTTTGAAGTCCGAGTAAGTCTTCTATTATTCTTTGACTGCCTCTCACTTTGCCTTATGAATAATTTGCTCTCGTTTTTTTTCTCACATCGATTAAATTTCTGTTCTGATGATTTTCTTTTCTAATTTGCTTCTCTGGCATCTGCCGCGCCATGTCTTGGTGTTGCGCAGGCTGTAAGTATGATTTCACGTCTTTGCTTGCAGCCCACTGCAGGATTCAATCTTCGACTACTATTGCATTCCTTCCTTTGTGTTCTTCTCGGTACACCCTCTTTCCTACTTTGCTTTATAAACTTGTATATGTCAAGGTAAATGACGTATCTGCCGGTTAATACCTTAATGTCTTCCTGAAACTCTGAATGGGTGTGGAGTTTAAGATTTTGAAAGCCTCTGGCTGCAACTTTCAATGATAGTCGCGTAACCATGTCAATGTTATTAACCCAGCTTGAGCAGAAGTCTCTAAAATTATATTTAAATGATGTATGCTGACGTGCACATATCAACGTTGAAACATCCCGAGAATTTTTACAACCCGATCGGCATTCACCTGAACTAAATTTAGTCTGTATGTTCAGAGCAAATTCCATTATAAAAAGTTACAAATGATTGTTCTATCTGATTTCCAGTTAAGGTTTTTGACCTCTTGCTTATTTACTTCTATAATATCATTCACAGCAAACTACGGAACCAAACTTCCCGGAAATCTTACTGATTGCCATTAATAAACTCGGTGTCAACTTGATTGATCCAAGATCAAAGGACACACTGGCAACTTATCCTTTCACTAAGATATCAAACTGGAGCAGTGGAAACACTTATTTCCATATGACAATAGGAAATCTGGTCCGTGGTAGCAAACTTCTCTGTGAAACCTCACTGGTAAGTACCTAAGGCTGGTATCAGCTGATCTTCTTTAGTTAGCCCACTGCTTTCTTTGATATCCACGTTGTGCCATATGTTTGAAAGTAGTGAAACACCTGGTCAAATTACTCATGTTCATGATTTTTAACTCCGCTGTTGACTTCATCGAGCGAGTTAATTATATTACTTATTGTCCGACTTAATCATCTTCAGTGTCTACGTATTAATTTTTCGACTTCTTCTTGAAAATCGCAACTCTTTGCAAATTACATGGCTTTGATACTAATGTTGATACTAATGTTCCTACAGTGTTTGATACAGGGGGACACCGATAGGGTACCTTGTCATTTGCAATCATATAGCTGCAGTTGTTGAAATTTATCAACACTGTAATCCCACAGAATAATTTACAATGCCTATTTCTGAATAAAAAAAAAAATAGAATATTTGAACATGTTACCTGCTGTTGCTGGGTTTTTTTCTCTATTTATTCTGGCTTTCCGTGGAGTCTCTCAGAAGACAATGTATTATGAATACATACATTGGAGAAGTGTACTTCATAAATGGTAATTCCCGATAACCCTGTGTAACCATAGTGATGATTTGTATCCGTCTTGTCTTTTCCTTAGGGTTACAAAATGGATGACTTATTAACATCGTACATCAGTCTGATGCTGACTACAATGAATAAACAGCGGACATTGCGTCAGAAATAAGCACTTTCTTTTTTAAGGAATGGAATGATATTTTTTTTTACGTAAAAAGTACAACATACCAAAAATGGCATTTGTCTGAGAGGTTGTACTGGTGATAAATGATAACAACAACCAGTATTGTATTTGTAAATTCTCAGTTTTGTTTCTCACATAGAGCTAAATATTTATCTATTATTGTGTATACAATTTTTAATCTATTTTGGCTTTCTGAATCCAGTTTTGTCGTGTCACTTGCTGGATACACCCTTACAAGTCTGGTAATGAGAAGTTGTCTGGCACCTTGTCTGGACCAAATTATTGGCCTCTTCATTCTATGATAGATCTATATTCTGCCTATCAGTCATTCATTAATCACTAATTAGAGTTCATATCAATCATAAACAAGAGGATTTATTAGTAAGATTAGGTCTGTTTCATGTGTGCTCATTGGGGGCAACTGTTTTGGCTGAAATGATAAAATTGGAACAAGGACTTGACAAGAAAATGTACGAAAAATGATAATGAATGTTAAATCATGTTTGTCCTTTTTCTTCAGAGTAACAGTAAGATAAAAAAAATAATAAGTTCAATGGGGCCCGCCAGGTCAGAAGTCATGCCAGTCATTTTTCACATGACACAGATTTATGCTTTTTAAAAATAATTACTTCATTTTCTTGTGATCAGTATTTGTATATTTGGTATGATAAAATATAAATTGACTTTTATAAACATTGAAAAAAAATATTTAGTTAAGCAGGTATTAATTTATTCAAAGCTTTGTATATCTATTTTGCAAATATATTCAAGATTATGTTAATATATTTAGCGGGTTGAGGGTGCCTGTCATTGGTGTGGTGTGTATTCATCTAGCAATAATTTTAGCCCACTTAAGTATGAGTAGATTTTACCTTGTTCCAGTAATATTTTTATCGGCATTCATATTACATTGCAAATGGGGGTTTTATTGTTTGTGTTTAATTCCGCAACATTCCGTACAAAGCATTGAACTTGAACCTCAAGCTTCGCTGCACCATTGCTGATAGCTTGTGTGGTGTAGTGATCTCAACTCATAGATTGTATTTATGTGTGTTTTGCATATTCTTTATTCAATGTTTTACCCTCCTCCCCATCTTCACTGTATCTTCTTCCTTCCCGACACTGTCTTCATAATGCCAGTACCAAACTATTGTATACTATGGTGTCACTGCCACTGATCATGCACGTCTCCATGGTTACAGTGTCTTACACAATTACATGTATCATTAGAATATTAATTATTTTTGTATCTAAACTTTAAAAAAAAGAAAATTAAAAACTGTACATTTCATAACATGTTATATAATCATGAATTGTGTGACAAGTGGTGTTAGCAAATCATAAACCGCCAATTCATTAGAATTTGTCTCCCTAAGTAAGTAAATAAATGTGACCAATCATTTGTAAGCTGATGGGAAGGTATAATTTTTGTTTCCATATTCTCATTTTTTTGGCAGTTGATTATTGTATCACTTGAAAATTACAAAATTCAATAACATTCCTTGCCTCAGTGCTGTGTTCCTGGTGTAATTAGGAAATGAATATTTAAATAATGTAACATTTCAACGTTGCAGTCTCCAGGGAATCTATGACTGTGATTACCTGTTGGTATGTCCTTCTGTTTATTTCTCTTGTCAGGAAAATATTGGGGTGAAAATAACTGTATTTACAATTTAGCTTTCCATTTGATAACATTTTGGTTTCATGTTTTCTTTTTTGCTAGACAAAACTTATATTTGCGAAATAATAAACCATTTTACCACAGAAACTGCTCTTTTGTTTCTATCTCTTGTATTGCTCTGTTTCAATGATTGTTTTTTATAGTCCAAGTGAAGTAAAAAAAAAATTATCTTTTTGATATTTATGGTTTGGTAGTGAGACCTTAAAATGGCCACCTGTAGCTCTATTCTGTTTTGTATGACATTCATTGCCAATACGATTCAAACTTTATCAACAACATTTTTTCATTTACAGCCATGGACCAAATTTATGTTCCTATAGTGTGTTGTACAAGGCCTGCAAATAGTGTAGAATAATTTTTTTTCCCTGGATCTCCAATAACAAATTGGACAAATTTATTGTGTGCAAAGATAAATGTTGAGGGGTGGGGGTGAGTTACTGATTGTAAATTGATTCGGCTTGGGGTTTTTCCAAGGCAACTTAGGGTAGCTTGTTAATTTGACTTCTCGTTCTTGCATTCTTTTAGTTTACAAGATTTCTGTCTGGAATTCAGCCAACTTGCTGCACCTACTGCCTGAGATGAAAATCCTCTTTCTTCGAAAATCTGCTCAACACACTCTATGGTGTGAATCGTAAAGCACATGCTGAAACAAGGCCAGTGCTTGTCCGAGAGTTTAGCACCTTCATAAAGCAATGCTTCTGTACTTAGCTGATCTTAAATTGTGTTAAAGGGCGGTTGTCGTTGCGGCCACGTATGTGCGAGATATGGGTCTCATATAAACAAAGATGGCGATTTTGAATGTCGCGCACAACTAGTACAAACTGAGATGTTACCAAGCTTTAATTAAATATATTGTTTTGGTGTTTAGAAAGTATCAATGGAGTCACTGGCTGTCATTACTGCAAGTGGCGCCTAGGGCAAAATTTGTACATCATTAGAAAAGTGCATTGGATTGTCGGAAAATCAATGTTTACACAATTGTCACACATGCACCCTTTAAATGCGCATCCAATATTTGCCACCATAGTGGGTGCTTTCTTGCACATATTTGCCACCATAGAGGGCTTTTTTATGCACATGTTTTCCACCATAAGGGGTTTTTCTCGCACATGTTTTCCACCACAGAGGGCGCCGTCTTACACATATTTGCCACCATAGAGGGAGTTTTCTTACACATGTTTGCCACCATCCAGGGTGTTTTCCACAGTCAGCTGGCGCACCGTGATAATAAAATAAATAAGAGATTTACTATATGGGGGCCGCCATCTTGAATGACGCATAAAACTAAATAAGAGACAAGTTGTGAAACGCGTTTTTCGGATTCCTACAAATCAGGTGTTTTCTTACACATGTTTTCTCACCATAAGAGGGTCTTTGAAATACGATGTTAAGTACTTGAGATATTGATGGAAAGCTGAGAATTTACTTTTTATTATGCAAACTCGGTAAGTTTCACTGAAATGTGATGATTAGTACTTGAGATATCAGTGGGAAAACTGAAAATCATTGTGCATATTAGG